CAATACAGACTGAATTCGTAAAAGGGCGTAGGATCCAGTACAGTATCTTATTAGTCAATGAACTCCTCAAACTAACAAGACAAGATAAACTGAACACGGTTGTGGTCTTCATCAATTTCGAAAAAACTTACGATCACGTGGACTGGGAATTTTTAGACTGATGCATGGAGAAAATGAACATTGGACCGGTTTTTCGGCATTGGACCAAAATACTGCATCATAATGCCACTACGCGTGTTCAAGTAAATGGCAAGGTGTCACCGGCCTTCCCACAGCAACGGTCAGTCGGACAAGGAGACCCTTTGACACCCTTCCTTTTCATAATTGTGATGGAGCCACTGGCAGCGAACCTTCACTCGAACAAAGACCTGCGGAAGTTGCAGATCTCGGCCATCCCTGCGGACGAGATCCCCATCTGTTCGTTGTTCGCAGATGACTTGGCAATTATGGTAGATGTCACAACAACAAACATGGATGAGATGAGAAGACTATGTGACCGATTTATAGCAATCTTTGACATGACTGTTAAACCACCAGTACCTGGCCCATACATCGGCCGCGGGGCTTTCCCGTATACGCGCCGCACTTTGTGGGGTTCGGGGGAGGGTCGGAGTCGCAATGGGGGAGGAAGGTAGTGGGCCCAAGGAAAGCTGCCCTATGGACTGCAATCTGTCCCCTTGGATTTTCGTGCATGTGAAAACATGCATGGACGCTCTGTGCAATGAGCAGTGCCAAGAAGGTGAAAAGAAAATGAAAAGTAAGTTTGCATGCATCCGGACGCATTTTTGGCCTGAAGCAATGACGTGAGCAGTGGTTTGTTTTTTTGGAAGCAGCTGCTCGCTGTTTCTACTGCTTCAGCTCCCCGTGGGAGACGGGGACCACTCAATACCTGCCGAGATTTCAAATCAAGGTCTGCACAGTCACGTACCACTTTCCATAATGTATCTGGCTGCACTTTGGTGCAGTAGAGGATGTACCCTGTCTCTTATACACATCTAGATGTGTATACGAGGTCTGCACAGTCACGTACCACTTTCCATAATGTATCTAGCTGCACTTGGATGCAGCTCTGGATGAATCTGAGCCCAATCACGTTCAGGGCTTGGTTTCTCTTTTTCCTTTTTTTTTTTTTTTTTTTTTTTTTTTTTTTTTTTTGTGAAGTAGTAGCTCGTCCGTTTCTGGTGCTTCAGCTCCCCGTGGGAGACGGGGAGCACTCAATACCTGCCAAGATTTCTAATCGAGGTCTGCACAGTCACGTACCACTTTCCATAATGTATCTAGTTGCAGCTCTGGATGAATCTGAGCCCAATCACGTTCAGGGCTTGGTTTCTCTTTTCCCCTTTTTTTTTTTTTTTTTTTTTGGTGAAGTAGTAACTCGTCTGTTTCTGCTGCTTCAGCTCCCCGTGGAAGACGGGGAGCACTCAATCGTCCTCGCTCCACTACACAACACTGTACATGCATTTGGTCGTTTATACAACCATGTGCATTCTGGCGATTCCAACGTTGTGAACGTATCGGGTCAATAATACCTGCCAAGATTTCAAATCGAGGTCTGCATAGTCACGTACGACTTTCCAGAATGTATCTAGCTGCACTTCGATGCAACTCTGGATGAATCTGAGCCCAATCACGTTTAGGGTTTGGTTTCTTTTTTCCCTTCTTTTTTTTTTTTTTGGTGGGGGGGAAGTAGTAGCTTGTCTGTTTCTGCTGCTTCAGCTCCCCGTGGAAGACGGGGAACACCTGCCAAGATTTCAAATAGAGGTTTGCACTTCTCCCCAGGCCATATTCATGTACACGAGTAGAAACAAGGAAACGATCCCCTCTTTACATTCCAGTTGCTGGCAGCAGGTCCAGAATAAGGGGCGGTACCTGTGCCAAGCAACAAATGTCCCATGTTGGTTCCCGCCCCCCATAGGCTCAGCAAAAATCGGCGCGCAGGGCATATTCAGGCTCGACTTCAATAACTGGGTGAGGTACTGGTGGTTTAACTGGGGAAATAAAACTTTGGGTTGGTGGATTCATCATCAAGGAGTGCGCCCCCGGAGCTTCCACGGGTTAAGTGGTTCCCCGAAGAGGCCCCGGTTAGGGTACTTGGAATCATGCTAATAGCACTAGGTAGGCCCACATCGAACTGTCCACATGAAGATTAGCGGTAGGTACCTGGTTTTGCTTTATGCTGTTAGTTTTTTTCCGCCCTTGCCAGTATGGAGCTGAGTTTTCGAATCCGTATCTGTTCGTGATCTATGAATTGGTTCTTTGTTGGGGTTGGAACTGTTGTATCGAGCGAAGTAGGCAGGGAATGACATAGTGGAGTAACTCGTGGTGTTTCGTTCTTCCGGGACTCGAACTGGGTACCATTGAACGGTTCTCGAACCGGTGTACGCAACAGGCGAGATGAGTGTGGATGACTTGGTGTTTTTTGAACTAGTGACTTTTTGACGGCTATTCTCCGATAGTAGTAGCCTTTAGGTAACTCTTGGTACCAAGTCTTGCAAGATATAAAGCGGTCACTGTACCGTCATAGGCACCGACAAATTGACCCCTAATGAGGTTGGTGGGCGGCCAGCCGAAACCGGTCGGTTCCACGCCTGTCGTGCCGAGCATTTATGTGCTTCACTCTATTTTTTTCAGATTAATGCTGCGTTCGGGATTTTTGCTTCCTATCTTGCATTGTCTTCGTCTTCGTCAGTTTCTATGTCCTATCTATCCTCTTTCGCTAGTTTCTATGCCTATCCTGTATGTGACGGATGCCTGTCTTATATGATTAAGTTCACAGTCGAAGGAAAATACAAACCTCGTTTCACGGAGTAACTGACGTAGGAATTGAACTACTGTTGAGTGGCTTCGTTATTTACTCGTTGACCTTTGACATGGCGTCGAATCAGTCCTACCCTCCCCTTCCCCCTCCTTCTAATTTTATAAATTGTTACAATTGTGGTCAACTAGGGCATTTGTCTAGGTTCTGTCCGTACCCTGATAGACGACTTAATGGCAACTCAGTTCCTTCCAATCCAAGTATGGCGATCGTGCCGGTCCAACAGCCGCTCATGACTGTACCTCAAGATGGGAACTCAAACAATACACAGGCGTCGGATGGCCAGTACCATGGACAGTATCAAGGTGGTAACTATCAAGAGAACGGATGGCTACGGAATCGTGTGTTCGCGCTAGAAGGGCAGGTTGCTGAGATGAAGACTCGGCATGATGCTGAGATGGCGCGAGAAAGAAAAAAGAAGGATAAAGAAGACTTTCATATGGCTATTAGTGAGAAGATGACGAGCAAGCTTGACTTTATGTGTGAAATATTGTTATGCAAGAAGGGGAAGGAGGCGGATGAGGGTGTATCGAAACTCCGAGAAGGGATTGGGGAACTGAACAGACGTATACAAGAGTGTGTTGGCCCCTCGAGTACGGCGCAAGCTACGATGGAACTCGAGGCGATGGGACACCTTCGGAAGGAACAGGAGGAGAGGTCGATGTTGGAGAAAAGACTCTCAACTTTGGAGAAAGAGACTTCTGAACTTTGCAAGCTCATGGATGTGGCACAAAAACAAGCAGAGTTGTGGAAAGAAGAAGCACTACGGCCTGGAAACAAACGCACCTGTCGTGGTATGGCTGCAACTACTAGCCCCTACCAACACATTCGCGAGACCCCGAAGAAGCCAACACAAGTGACGATGGTGAGAGATGAATATCTCGGATGGGTTGTGAAAAGACACGCGCTTGAAGTGACAGCGTTGAGAGAGTCAAGGGCACGTGAGTTGAATGGACGACGAGAAGTCAAGCAGGAGTTAGAGAGGGTGAAAGAATCATTGGAACGATTGGAGACAATTTGAAGGAGAAGATGGATGTCGTAGTGATCACCTCAGCGTTTAAGACAGGTAAAGGCAAAGCTCGCCAGAGCCCGCATGCACGGATGAACGATCGGGAGGCCTTCTTGAAGGAAACTAGAAAATTCTTGAAACCAAAGAAGAAAGAGGAGATTAAAAGTATGTGTGAGAAGGAGCGTATACCATATACTACCTTGGAGGAGACGAAGGAAGAATTGGCGAATCGACGTGCGGCTCTGGCATTCGACAAGGGTCGTGCTGGAGAAACGAAGGGAAAAGGAGTTGTTATTGAGGATAGCGATAATACTTCAGGCGGCAACGATGAAGAAGGCCTCAACGATGTCGGGGGTGATGTCGGATCTTCGTAGTGTCTTCCCCGAATGCGGTTGTGCTTTGGAAGTTCGCGCGCCAATGTTTTAGCATTCGCTGATCTACTACGGTGTAAAGTTCTCAACACTCTTTTTTGTTGTGTTACGCTTCAGCTTATTCTGTTGGGTTAGATTCATTGGGGTTGTAAGTTGATTGATCATGTGCAACTGCTTGTGTCTCATAAGTTCGACTTCGATACGTGTAGTGGACCTTTGGTTTATGCTCTTATATCACCCTGGAGTCGACATGTCACATGTGTATGTTGGAAGCACCTCTCGTGATTTGTTTACTCGTTGGGGTGAGCACGTCTATCGTACTAATCATCCTATTGGGCGGGGTGGAAGACATAGGAATGAAAAGGTGTATTGTTGGTTACGTAGACATGGGGCACACCATTATGTTCCGGTACCTCTATGTAGGTATGCGGTGGAGGATCTCGGTGCGTGTGAAAGGTTTTACGTTCGGTTGTTCTCTTCTGCACTTGATATTCGTGATAAGCGTAGGAAATCGAGAAGACAGAGACCGGGCCTTCGAGAGAGAAGTCGGCGGAAGCGGAATAACGTAGGGAGGGGTGATGTTGACGTTTCGATGAATCGATCTTTGGCATGCTTTCACTCATCTGTAGGGATCGTGTCAAATAGCCTGATTAAGATTCTCGATGTATATACAGATCAGTCTGTTAGTAGTTGTGTTGTGGTTTGCTACGGTGGGAAGTCCCTGGTGGATAACTGGAAGGTGTTAAAACGCATGTATGAAGAGTCGATTATCTCTTGTGGATTTGGGTGTGGAGAGTTACGACACTTTCGTGAGTGGATTACGAGTGGGGGTACTTTGCTGTTTACGTCTGTGGTTCCGTTTATGCAACGTGCTTTGTCGTTAAAAAAACCTCTTGTTGCACTCCTTAGCGCACCTCGAGAACGTGTACTGCTTAATGGCTGGAACTTGAATGACCTGATCTATGCTTTCAATACTATTCGTACATTTAGCGAAAAAAGAACTAGGTTGCGTCTGAGACTGATTCTCTCCAATGCTATACAGAGGCGGTTCGGTATTCAGGTTAGGCTACGGCTTGTCGTGTGTATCGTGTTTGATGATGCTATTAGTAAGTGTGTGGTGTGGAGGATCTATGCACGTTTGGTGAGCACCTTGGACATCGCAGAAGGATTAAATGAGATTTTGGTTCAGAGAATGCGAATCGTATGGAAGCGCAATAAAACAGTGGGAGATCTAATTCACAACTATCGATAACATTCTCGATTGGAGGAGGTGCGATGTACGTGTGTAGGTGTCTCGTCCAGTCTCCCGAGAGTAGGGGAGCATGTATCTTTTCAAATTAGTGACTGCAGTGTATTCCCGACATGGATGCAGAACTCTCGGACATCCTACGACCAACTCAACTACGATCTTGCAACAACTTGAGAAGGCAGATTTTTTTCGCATTCTAGAGCATGAAGTCACTTCCTCCTATAAAAAATGGTATCATTGGGATGGGGGAGCTTCGGTCGTGTTTTAAATCGACTTTCTCCGTTCTTCTTCTCTCTCCTCCTCTTCTCTCTGTTTTTTTTTTTTTTTTTTTTTTTTTTTTTNTTTCTCCGTTCTTCTTCTCTCTCCTCCTCTTCTCTTTTTTTTTTTTTTTTTTTTTTTTTTTTTTTTTCTTCTTCTTCTTTGCCTTCCTCTTCTATTTCGTTCTCTCTTTCGCTCGGGCACGGGGGTGATGTGAAATCGGTTGATGATTTGGGTATGTATCTCAATCTTCTCGAAGGGTTGGTTTGTTGTCTGTTGGATTACAATATGGGTGATACTTACGTTTGTTGTCCGGTTGTTTATCGGAGTGGAATGGAGGTTTCTGAACAATCCCTCTTTGACCCACTATTCAGACGACGAGCCTACCGTCTTGACGAAGTGTAGGGCTGAATACGATGGAAGAGAATTGTCCAAGGTGGGCAAATGGGATGGAAACGACCAGCTTGGACGATCGTACTGCCTCCCTAAGCACAAGGACGTGAGCCAATGGCGGTCTATCTATCCTTCTCACTCTGAATGCTCTAGTATGGGGGGGAAGCGAATCTCGCAAGCAGTTAACCTCCTTTTGTGGAAGCTTCTTGTGGAAACCAACTTCAATCTACGGGCTACAAGAGATTTGATATCGAGAATCAAAGAAATCAACAAAGATGTGCGGAAGGGAAATGTGTTACTTGGTGCCTCATTCGATGTCAAGGAGATGTTTTCGAACCTTTCACATCAATCTATCTTGAATGCTTTAATGTGGGTGATTGATTTTTGGACAATTGAAGGATACAAAGGTGTGTTTGTGCGCTGTCTGGGAAAAGCACCTAAACTTGCGATAGGGCGTAGCAAGGGTGGATGGAAGTTTCTGTCATTCGAGACAGTTCTTTCCTTTGTGCAGTTCGAGTTAGACAATACTTTCGTGATGGCGTCTGAGACAGTGTTTCAGCAAACAGTCAACATCCTGATGGGCAAGTCATCAAGTTCGGCTTTGGCATGCTTATTGTGTGCCTATAATCAATTTCTTCCTCTTTCGTCTTTGGGCAGAGATCGAAGATTGCTATGGGATTTTAGGCTTGTTCACGACATATCTGTCTTCGTGATTGGCAATCAGGACAACGGGTGTTCCAAGGAAAGGGGACGAAAGCTTCTTGAATCTTTTGTTAATTGCTATGATGATAAACTTGTTCTTGAGCGTACGAGCGCTGACTTTTGTTGGGACTTCCTCGGGTGTGTTCTTAAAATTTGTGATAATGTTGCAGGGCTCGTTTGTATGCCACTACACAAGAACCAACGTGGAGGTGCAGATAGGAAGTTGTTGTTTCATAATATCCAAAACTGTTCTTCCTTCTCAAGTCGGCAGCAGAAAGTCACAGTTATCGGTTCCTTCTATCGTGCTAAACTATTCAATACTGTACCTGGGTCTGAGTTGCCCTTTCTCTTCTCCCTGAAGGTGGAGCTATGAAAACAGAAGTACCCTGATGATCTCTTTGACTTTGCCTGGATCAATTTCTCTAAGAAACATGGAGGAGTGGGATGAATGGATTCCGTTGTTGACCGGATGGGGACGCAGGTAGAGTTGTTAGCTACTATGGAAGCAGTTTTCTCGACTTGGATGAGTGTGGGGCGAATGGATTCTGTTGTTGACCGGATGGAGACATAGGACCAGAATATTTTTTCTGAGTTGTGTACTAGGGGGTCGGATACTGATGCTTCGGATTTTTGTCGGCCTATTTGTTTTGGGACTAAGTTTCGAACTGTCCACCTAAACATTAGCGGTAGGTACCTGCTTTATGCTGTTAGCTTTTTTCCACCCTTGCCAGTATGGAGCTGGGTTTTTGAATCCGTATCCGTTCGTGATCTGTGAATTGGTTCTTTGTTGGGGTTGGAACTGTTGTATCGAGCGAAGTAGGCAAGGAATGACGTAGTGGAGTAACTCGCGGTGTTTAGTTCTTCCGGGACTCGAACTGGGTACCATTGAACGATTCTCGAAGCGGTGTAGGCAACAGGCGATGAGTGTGGATGACTTGGTGTTTTCGAACTAGTGACTTTCGCGAGGCTATTCTCCGATAGCAGTGGCCTTTAGGTAGCTCTAAGTACGAAGTCTTGCAAGATATAAAGCGATCACTGTACCGTCATAGGCATCGACAAATTGACCCCTGGTGAGGCTGGTGGGCAGCCAGCCAAAACCGGTCGGGTCCACGCCTGTCGTGTCGAGCGTCTATGTGCTTCACTCTATTTTTTTCAGATTAATGCCGCGTTCGGGATTTTTGCTTCGTATCTTGCATTGTCTTCGTCTTCGTCAGTTTCTATACCCTATCTATCCTCTTTCGTCAGTTTCTATGTCTATCCTGTATGTGATGGATGCCTGTCTTATATGATCAAGTTCACAGTCGAAGGAAAATACAAACCACATCGAACGATGAGTAAAACCCGCTTTAGAAAAGTTAGCCCGCTGGAATGACCAACATACCTCCCTATTCGGTAGGATGCTGACGATTAACAGTGTGGTGGTGGCGGCCCTTTGGTACAAATCAGCAATCTAGGGTCTCAATAAGGAAGTCATCCAATCTCTGGTGCGTCAGGTAACGACCCTGCTGTGGCGAGGCAAAGCTCACGGACATCATCAGCAGGGTAGTTTGGTCATCGGTGATCCAACCAAAAAACAAAAGGGGGTTAGGGATTCTAGACCCGGAAACATAGGTCACAACAACTATGGTGCAATGGGTTAAGAGGCTGCTCACAACAACTTCCATGGTATGCCCTGGCACTAGAACAGATGGTCAGACTTGCCCCGCAAGCACCACATGACGTTCACTCGTTGACTTGGCTGGAAGACCGCTTCTGGACTGTGCCACGGCGCACTCGGGGCGGCCGCGAACCGAACGGGGGAATAATTAGGAAGGACTTGGTCCGAAACGACTTTTAGGCCAAGGTTCTGAGAGTCTGGCGCCAACTTCCTCTTTCTGACAACCCCCCGCCGACTAGGTGGGAGGAGGTGATGCGCCAACCTCTATTTGGAAACGGGAGGATCACCGATCGATATAGCAGGGTGTTTTGCAGTCCGGTCACCCCGTGGGGTAGTTGGGTTAAAAAAGGCATTATTAGAATAGAAGACATTTGAAACTCTGAAATGAGGGATTGAAAGACGGGGCAGCAACTGAAGGACACATTAAAACATTGTCACAATATTAAGGAGAATTTTGAGATGTTGGTATTCGGAATCCCCCTAGACTCGATGCGCATCCTGCGCAAAGGACCACGACTGGAAGAAGGGGACTGGGTAGTTATGTCGGGCGACTCATAAATTGTGGGAAATGTGGTGGATGTGCGGCTGGATGAAACTTTGATTAACCTTTTTCATATAGGAAAGGATAATGTCCTTACCTGATACTCCCCAGATGTGACGAGATGGGGAAAAAACAAGGAACTACAAAGGATCCGTGTGTTACGGGACAAGAAATATGGACAGCATATCAGCCAAACACCCCATTGGTAAAACTCCCCTTAGATACCGAGGAATGGCAGTGGTCACTCCCACGGAAAAGCAGTTATCGGGGGAAGACAAAGTTGCAGAACCTA